ATAATCCTCTGATTTTGGAACTCCATATAGCAAATATGGACATCCAATATATACTGGATGCATACAAGTATGCTTGCTGTTCTTATATAATTAATTATAATATTAAAAAATCTAACAGAGGAATTTCTAGGCTCTTAAATGAAGTTATATCAGAAGTAAATGCTGGAAATTATACTATTAAGCTAAAACTAAAACAGATAGGTCACAAATTCATATCAGGCACAGAAATATCAGCAATAGAAGCAGTACATTGATGCATTGGTCTCCATCTTTCAGAAGAAAGTAATGCAGACATATTTATAAATACCTCTCGACCTGAGGAATGTGTTCGAATGGTAAAACCTAGAGCGGAACTTCAGAACCTTCCTTCCTTACGTAACCGCTATTTTAGACCGTTATGTTCAAATAACCTATCAGTTAGAAACTCTTTGTTCAGCTGATTTCGCAGCTTGGTAAAAATATTTTAAATACAGTAGAAAGCATAAGACAGTGATCATGCGGAAGAAGAGAGGGAAGATGACAATTTACCAAAACGTGGGATTGTAATGCCTCCTACAAACGCTAGCGGTTTTATTACAAAACGTGCCAAATCTTGTATAATTTGGTATAGAAGGTTAGAAGGGTTTAACCCAGATTTGGCCAGAGTTGAGTATTTCCGCGAAATGGTAATGCTTTACTATTTATGACGGAATTAACAGCAAGATCCTATTGAAAACGATAATGAGCAGACTTGCATAACACATCGTATTCTAATTGAGGTAAATCAAAGAAAATATGATGTTTTTTAGCAAAGCGAACTTGAGAATCTTCTAGAAATCAACCCAAATATAAATTGGCTGGACTTGCATGGTGAGGATTCAACAGATAATGTCAGACTTATAAACTCAACACCCACTTTAATTCAAGTTGAGGAATTATTTTCTTGAGTTCAAAGTGACACATTTGATGCACCAGCTAAAAACAAGTCGTCATTTATGATTTCATTGGCGGCGTGCAGGTGTTGGAAAGAGTCGTTTGAATCTGCAAGCTCTTAACTATCGTTACAATTCTACACCTGGATTCAATCCAAGTATCTTGAACGTTTTCTTTGCGCCCCTCAGGTAAACAGCATTCAGATTAGATGGACTGACACTTCGTCAATATTCTCTTTACCTGTTAATCAGTTGAATAGTGAATTGAGGCCACTTAGAAATGATATAGTTAATTCATTGTATTTCAGACTTCTCGGTTTGAAAATAATCATATATGATGAAATTTTGATGGTAAGTGCTCGTATGTTTAGCTCTGTTGATGCGAGATAAAATTTCAAATTTTCAAAGCCCTTCGGTGGTATACCGATCATAGTGTTTGGTGATTTAAGCAACTCTCAACTGTTGGAGATAGATGGACATTCTTTCCTAATCCTAACGATGCATACAGCACTTTAGTTGGTTCCCTTTGTAGGAGGTATTTAAATACTTTGAATTAACAAAATAATGAAGTGAGAACGGAAGGATCAGGCCTTGCAATTGCATAAACCATATGGCACCTGGTACTATGACAAGTGATGATATATGACTTATTGTAACTCCAGTAGTTAATTCCGAAGAAGTTCCATTGATGCTATACATTTATTTTGGTCCAACGAAGAGACGAATAAATTCAATGCCCTTAGCTTATCGAGTTCTAATTGAGGATATGCTTTCAAATGCTAAAGACTCAGATAATGGCATGGGTATAAGAAAATGAGTATATTTTGGAAAGAGTTAAACTATTATAAACTTCTAAAATTTATGCAAATATATGATTACTGTAAAAAAGTGTGATGCCTGGTTAATGGGGCAACTGGACAAACTTATGCAAATTGATTTCCATTGTTCTTTCCAGCAACTCTGTCGATTAAATTCTTAGAACTTTTCGTTAGTTTGATAACACGTTCAAAAAGCCTCATCTCTAGAAAATTCGTGGACACCAATTGAAATAGTTCTGAAATCTTTCAATATAAAAGAAATAAAAATCCATTAACAAAAATCAATTTCAGTGGTTCCAGCTGAGGGAGTAACTATTCATGAAAGTCAGGGGGCACATATGGTATACTTAGTAAGTTGTCATTCATACTCCTCTAGAATGCCTAGAGCTTCGATACATATTGCTTGCAGTCGACTACTACTGCAGAGGATTCTTCATTATAGGAAATTTTATTCCCCTCTATTTTCTGAATCGGATCTAGGACTGATGAAATGAAAACAACTAAAGCTATAACAACAATTTCATTTTATGATTTTCCGAACATGAGCATACAAATTTATATCATAATGTTCAAAGTCTCCACACTCCACAGATATTTTATGTTTTGTTAAATGCTCCAATATTAATATTCTACGTTCCTATTTTAGACTTCAGTAGTGATCGAATGTCCATGTTCAAATGTTTGAGTTCATCATAAACCTTATCAAGAACGGATCCGAGTCATTCGGACTTGATCGCGTAAACACTATTTATGAATACCAACATTATCAATATGGATATAATCCCGAAATAATTAGACAGATAAAAATGTGATATAAAAGTGTGGAACTCTCTATCATTAATAATATTACCTCATTTCAACCAATTTCGAAATGGTAGTACGATTACAGGCATACTGTAATAATCGTGCAAAGATTGGCATTCAATGGTAGATAAGGACTTAAGGAAAAACAAGCACTATTGTTGAGCAAATTCATAGCTAATATTTTAACTATTTGTCAGATAAGATAGCGATTGTTGTGGAACAATTGGCATAAGGTTTATGCTTACTATTTCAAAGAGTGAGAAGAAAGCTTTAAGTTCTGAGCTTTTATACGCAAAAATAAAATAAAGTATAGAATGAGCGGCGACACATTTTCTGTGACCCAGTGGTGCTTTGAATGAGGAAATAAAAAATTGTGAAACGTAGATTTTTGTATAGAGGAAGAGTAATTCATTAAAAGGAATTGGCCGGTAAAACAAAATATAGGTGCTTTATTATTGGGTTATTTTTCTGCAAAGTAAGGAATTGAGAGAGCAGAATGAGCCATTGGCCTGCTAAATCGATGTATCTCTCGCGTTACGAAAACCTGATGACGTTTGAATAGTTGCATGAGGGATGAAAAAGACTTTAAAACTTTTGATTTTTACTATAATAATTGTTTTAATATTCCTGGGACACCAAATTAAAGGTAGTGTTTCCTGCGAAGGCAGACAAATTAAAATGCATTGAAAAATGAATTATAAGTCCTTTATTATATTTATGAGTACAACTGATATTTCATAAAACTAAGTGAGGAAACTTCTCGTAATATGAACTGACACTGTGTGGAGAAAACTATTCTACATATTGCATCACAATTTTGTCCATCTTTCCATATTTATATTTATTCTATTTTACTACCTTATATGATGGTACTTATAGGTATCGATAAAATAGTACAGATCTTCTGTTAACTCCCCTATTTATGAACAAATTGGCATTCCTTAGTCTGTCAGAGTTTGAAGCTAATAAGTGTTTTTAGACGTGTGGTTTCAATGAGGCAATACTTTTCGGAGTTGGTCTTTAGACAACTGTTACTTGATTTAAACTCAGTTTGGTTGCCAGTTATAAGATGAAGCTAACTTGGTTGAACTAAAAACAAACTGTCACATTTGAAGTGTGATAATCTACAGCCTTGTTGAGACAGAGGAAATATTGGTATATTTTTCAGATGATAAAAATGAAGCTGGTCATAATTTTACAGTCAATGGGGAAAGCTATAAAGCGATGATCTTACTTTTCATGCCTGAATTGTAGGATGTTGATGTGGATGACCTTTGGTTCAAGCAACACGAACACTACATGCCATACAGCGCTACTGGCATCATATCCACCTCTCAAACGTTTAATATGCTTTATTTTTATGAAGAGCATATATATCTAATGCTCCAGAACTATCATACTTGTTGTTATAGTATTTACCTTAATTGCCTATTCATCAATGTAAAATTTATCAGCATCATGAACTAAAAGTATTAAATAGCTTAAATGTCTTCGATATCTCGATGAGTAATGAGTCTATGAAAGCGTAATATATCGGTCACTGGATGAAACTCTTAAAGAAAATATTGCACATGATTGATGCAGTAATCGCATATATCAATCTGATTACATATCTGCAAATACCATTTTCTTGATAAAAGTTGTGACTCAATAAGTAAATAAATTTGAAAGATAAATTTACACGCAAAGGATATTTTAAGTATTATATGAGCTTTTCAGTATGCCGAGGCATGTGCAGTTAGTTATTTTGCTAGTCATACTAGACGCAAAAGCAGGACTTAGAAGTAATTCGTTTTGTCGGTGCAAAAAAAGCGCAGCATTAACCACTGTATACTTTGTTGCATATGTAAATAAACATGTGTTTATGTGTATTTTCTTAATTTCTGACAGTGTGAAATTTAAGGCAAAAATTGTGGTAAGCTTTCACGGTCAAATACAAATGAAGCATGGCATTAGATATGTGCTGATAAGTTAAAAGATTAAGGTATAAAGCGAACCATTTGGGTATAATCGGTTTTAGTGACAAGTCAAAAATTAAATAGGCATTTTCTGATAAGAAAATTATTATATTGATCAACGTAGGCAAATATTTAAACATATGTATTTATGTATATTTTTAGGCAAAAAAAATTTTAAAAATTATGTCTGTCAAATTTCGTTACCTTTTTCTTTCATTAAGATTTATTTAATTTATTTCTACTCATAACTTACAAGTCTAACATATATCAAACTTATTGACTATTTTTGCACATTTTCATGCGTCCTCTTTTAAGTAAGACACATATAAGACTTTCGTCACATATAAAAATTATGTCTGTCAAATTTCGTTACCTTTTTCTTTCATTAAGATTTATTTAATTTTTTTCAAAACAATTCAGAAAACAAAATAAAATACACTTTTAATATATGTTAAAGAATTTTCATTACTCTGATGCAAAAGAAAAAAAAATCAAAAAAGTACAATAAATTTTTTTTTTAAGAAATGCTTTTCTTTCAGTTTATTAAAAACACATTTTTTTTTTTCTACTCATAACTTACAAGTCTAACATATATCAAACTTATTGACTATTTTTGCACATTTTCATGCGTCCTCTTTTAAGTAAGACACATAATAAGACTTTTCGTCACATATAAAATATATTTATGTAATAATTTTAAAAAACTAATCGTATAAGAAAAATGTAAGCATTTTCTATCGCGCTGTAAAATTAAAACAATAGAACACAACGGCGTCGCTTTTTCTTTAAAAGCACACGAGCTCATAAGTAGAGCTTTCATCAAACGAGCTATATAGCTTTCATTATACCTCAAAGCTCAGCTTTAGTAAACTTTGAAATTAAAAAAGTACGTGAATTGTTCTTGCGCCTCACGCAGCTTCATCTTGCGCGTTTCGGGCATTTGTACAATTATGCAAAAGGCAATAAAGTACGGCTTCACTTTTAGGGGGAATGCCTCGCCGAGAAATACGGTTGTGCTGGGCGCGAAGATACCGCCAAGAAATTCGGCAATCATAAGCAAAGCTACAACCATAGACATCTTCACTTCATCGGAAAGATTCGAATCCACATGATAGACAATCCCCACGCCAAGAAACATGCCGCCTGACACTAGTAAGGCAAACAAGCTTAACCATTTGTGACCGATACCACCCAGCGTTGTTGAGGCCACGACGGGACCAAGCACGCCAAGAAAACCATAAAGTATCGGATGCCAATTTATAACATTCGGCGCACTAATAATACCGCCATTATTCAGTGCCAGCATAATTGGCAACGATATGATGAACGACAGCATGCTGCGGTAGATGATCATTTTGAAGAGTGGCACTAAACCTTTGGCGAAGCTTTTACACACTGACATCGAGTCATTCATTGCCACATACATTTTGATATCCGTTATGGCGATTTCTTTATTTGCCGTTAAAATTGGTGGTTGAAAGAGCACATTGACGCAGGCTATAGCGCTGGTCTCATCACCTTTACGCATATGAAAGACAGGCGAGTCCTTTTGTGTATATGTCAAGAAGGCGGCCATGCAGCCAAAGAACAGGTTACATAAACCCATCAGCAAATTCGGGCTAAAATTTGTGCCCGTTATCCAGAGTGCGGTGTAGAGCATTTGTACATAGGCACCAACGGCAAGTCCAATTTGTTCAAAGGCCAAGCAGAAGCCTCGCCGATGTTTCGAAGAGATCTCACTCACATGCGTTATGAAGGAGACCGTCGTCAGTCCAATGCAAATGCCGTCAATATAGCGAGATGCGATAAGTACGCCCAAGTACTGGTAGCCAGAGACGGCGATAATGGCAGAAGCGGCAACAAGCAGATTGGGTAGAATCTAAAAAAAAGTTCAGAAGAAATTTTAAGCCGGCTTTTTATTTTGTAATAGAACGCTTATTAACCAGTTTGTGGTCTGAGTAAAAATTATGTTCTGAAGGAGCTAGATCGCTTAGTTGTCTTCTAATTTCGAAGGATAGAAAAACCTTAAGGGTGTTTTTTTGAACGACAAACTCCCAAAAAGAGGTAAAAGAAACTTCAGGTTTGGAAGGATGAAATACGAATTGATACAAAATATATAGATGTTGGAGATCCTCTACTTGACTACTTGCCACGAAATTTCAAGCAAATAACTGTCAAATAAGCAAACAGTTTTTTTTTAAATCGGCAAAATGTAGGGATCGATTTGTAATATTTTCTTTTTCTGAGAATATAATTTTTCACCATTGAATGATTTAAAAAATATTGTTTTAAATGATCTTTTTATATCCTGAAGTCACCTATATTCTGAATGACTCGAAATACTTCGGAATATCATCGTAACACTCACACTTTATCATTTGTTATTTAATTTTGCAAAGTCTGACAAACTCGCGTGAAAGGCTAAAGCTCTAGATCACGATTAAACTAATTGTATAACTCTCAATTTGGTACTGTTAAAAAAACTGGAAATTACACTGGGGTCTATTTTATGAAACATCTTGTACCAGCAGTCGCTACCAAAACCTTTCTTCAATTCAACTAAATATATTTTCTTTAAAAAACCACCAATTGACTTGACCCATTAGAGTCCGCGCATACAACCCACATAAATAAGTATAAAGTATCCTTACAATGTATAGACGCTTCCGTTTCCATTGCACCAGTGGTGGAGCTATGAAGGCACCAATCGCCACGCCAATATACCAACAAATACGAAACTGCAACGTATATTCACTCTTCGACCAACCGACGCTGACAGCCAGATTCATGCCTCCTGTTATAAAGATGAAGAAGTCTGCAGACGAAACAAGAAACACACACAAAATAAGTTCAGTTATTTCACGGTTCCAAAGCAATGGTAGCTACCTGAAAGCACCGCCAAGGTCTGCGGGCGATCCACCCAATAGCGGCTGAAACTGTTCGCAACTTCGGCAACCATTCTTCCAGTTCAGAAGAAGCACCAACCAAGTTTACACCGTTATATTTATTTCAATATTATTTCCGGTTGGCAAGGGTAGCTTTGACTGGTTCCTTCCACCGTAAGCGCGCAAAAAGAACTGCTTGTCGATTTAGTGGTTTTCTTATATACATGTCTTCTTTTTGCTTAATTTTAACGTTTATCACGGTGACGAAAAGCGCATTGCGTTACATACATACAAACAAATACTAGTTGGATAAATTGGCGCTAAACAACACTGGCTGCAGAATGCGGCGAATTGCTTTTATGTCAATGTGGTTGTGATACCATTTTGAATACCTGAAATCGTTATCGTTGATTACATTTCGATTTAGCACTGAATCCTAGCGATTTTATGTAGATTCTAAACGCTTATATGCAAACAACACTGACTTGCCTTGCATAAGGCCTAATGACAATTTGATAATAAGTACTAACTGCGGGCATAATTTACGTGCGGAATGTACACTGAGGCAAATGTGTGTGCCGAACTGTCTGTGTGACCACTAAAGGAATCTTCTCTATAAATCATTTTGCTACTTATCGAGATTTTACTTAAATTTTACCGGGTTTTGAACTTAGTATTCATCCAGTGTAGGCCTAATTTTCGAAAGCTTTACTCAAACGAACTTAATTCAAACACCATCAGCCAATATAGCCTAGTAGAAAATATATCCTAGAAAGCATTTTTGCATGTTTGGAAAGCATTTAAAAGTTTCTGGATATGTTGGCAGAGACACTTTAAAACAATGTGGACCAATAAAGTGATCAGCATAAAGCTCTGCAGAGTTATATTTTTTTGGACTCATGTTTTTATGTTTAATAAAAATTTACTTGAAAATTCTCTCTATTATAGTCCGATCAACTTAGGCCTTAAATAATTAGGAAGGTTACAAAAATTCATAAGAAGCTGAAACTCGGCAAAATTGCTTAAAACATAATTAATGGCTTTAACAATATGTGCATGCCAGGGAACAAAACAGTCTAAGCAACAAATGTTGATGAACAGCTATATGTTTCGGGTATATTACCAAGTTCAAGTGTGGCACTAGAGGAACTTTTTAACACTATATTTTTACACTGCAAAAACGGATGTAATGCCAAATCTGATTGCAAAAATTGTTCTTTGGCATGCAAACATTGTTAAGGCCGGTCATGCTCTAATGTTGAGTCGCCAACTGTTGAGGACTCCTATAATACCGATGAAGAATCGCTATCGAGGTAGTTTACTTGCACGCAAAGTGAAATAGAAGAAGAAGAATGAGAGGAAAGGGAAGAAGAACGAGAAAAAAAGGAAACATAAATATTTGAAAACTATGAATCCGACGAATAATTTTAGCAATTTTCTTTTTTAATACACCGCCTTCATTTTTACCAACCCTTATGTATGATATTATTTTGCAATAGTTTTAAACCACATAGAATCACAGCAGACTCGTGGAATAGGCCTACTGGAGAAACCACGTTAAAAAAAACGCGCTGAGTACATTACCTCAATAGTAGCGTGGAAATGTGTGGAAAATATGGGGATTACAAATTATCCAACTTTTGAAAGCGCTATATCTCCAAAATGGTTGCTCTTAAGAAAAAACTATCGATAAATTTTTTTTAAAGAATTTTGTGATCTACAATTTTGTCTCAGATAATTTTGCGAAAAACCTCAAGGTCGCGAGAAGCTAATTTTTTTGACCTTTGACCTTGTTCCATTTTTTACACATACCGGAACGATGAGGACCTTTGGGATTTATTTTAGAGCTATTTTTTGAGCAATTTTGCCGAGTTTCAGCTTCTTATGGATGTTGTTGTTGGATTTATTTACTCAAAGGTTTGATCTCCAGTGTCGACCTTCAACTACCTAAAACTTTCGATGAGACTTATAGTTGTTACCAACTAAGTGACAAATAATTGTAACTCAAATTTTTTTTAAAATTCTTTAATTTACATATCTCTTATTTAAAGTCTCATTTTGAGATATAGATGTGGTAGGTATAGTGAGCCAAATTCTTTTCACTATGTGTAGTGGCATAGAACAATGTATGTGAGCAAACTTTATTATCCAGCAGTACAAGTATCTCGAGTACTCTAAGTAAATTTTTATATAATTTTCGAACTCAATAACTCATTAATTGTACCACTTCACGGCGTACAAATGTATAACTGATTACCCATTATAGAATTTTTTTAACGTGTACAACTTCTGGCCTCACCAGCAAATATATTGAGCTATTTTAATAAGATAAAATAATTTTGACACATGCTACTTAATACTCAATTATGATGATAATTTGAATATAATAACATTTCTGGCATATTTTTAAATTTTAGTCTAATGAGGTATGTTATGGGAGCTTAAATGTGTAGTAGAACTAAAAAGTGCCCGTTCAACAGAAAATAATTTAAAATATACAAAACACAAGTCTGAGCAGTTTCAATGAATATAATTAGTATGATACCTCACGCAGTCAAATATTTTTATTTCTAAAGTGGAAGTTCTGAGGAAGTGAGTTCTAGCAAAAGTCTAATGGCTGGTCTAATGGAAATATAATTCTTGGTACTTCGGTCCGATTTTCGGAATATTTTACGCTCTCGAAAAATGTGTCTTATTCTCTTTCGAAGTAAGCTTTTAATAAGTAGAAACAACAATTTAAACACCGTCAGTACTCTATACATAAAGATTCTGGATATCCTTGAGTTTAGCATAATTTAAATCATACTTGTTTATAGAACACCAGACTTGGCTACACCGGAGTCTTCACAAAAATGGAAAATATTTTTTAAGCTCTTTCTTGCAACATTGTTATGTGCATGTATTTATCTTGCTATTAATCAGTCAGTGTGAATGGCAGCTATACGCTATAGTGATCCGATTGAGGAATATATTCGGCGTTTCTAGCGCTGCCGATTTGAGGGATGGAATTTTTACGCCATAGTTAGGCATCTCACAATGGAAGATAATATGTGACAGAATAATTATTTGAAAATTGAACCGTTTATAGGGAATACTAATTAATAATTATAAAAATAATTGGCCGTGATGTTTATTTAATAATTTCCGTTATTCTAACAAACCGCTGAACATGATTGAATTTGGTCTAGACCAACAATTGTGATCTTCTGGTTGACGTTTTGCACATCAACTCAATATAATAAGTACATAGCCAATGTGGGAGTTATTTTAATGAAATTGAGAGAGTGTATTTTTCTAATAACAGTGTATCTTTGTGCCTAAAATGGATAAAACGGGGTGAAAACTTGCCTTAGCCCCCATATAACTGATTTTCAGGATTTTGATAATTATAAAATTGCTTGAAAATAAGTTCCCAAGTATAACTGAACAATGTCAAAAACTATTTCCGACATTCCACCTGACTTTAAGCTGCTTAGTTTGGTCAAAATGTGTGGTATTTTAATAGAATTAAGTGAACACATTTTTTTAAAGGTTGTAAATTTATATTAATGGTTTGGAGCTTTTTATAAATGAAATTGTTTTTTAAATACTGCCGATACTTGAAGGTATTTCCCCGGCTTTGATCCTTGCAAGTTGCAAGAGTTTGAAATGTTCGGTTACATCCGAACTTAGCCCTTCCGTACTTATTTACTTTTTACTTCACTTCATTTTCACTTTCAGACAGATTTCGAGTAGATTAGCTTTAAATCTCCTCGGTGACGTGATTAACAAGTGTCATTTTGTATGACTAAATGTAGTTAAACCCAGTAGACTAGTGAGATAATCTACTCAACAGCTTAAATCTTGTGATTAAGTGTCGGTTGAAACATGGTATAAATGTAATAATCTGTGTCAAATTTAGTGAAGATACACAGTTTGTATAGCAGCTATATCCTATAGTGATCCGATATCGGCGGCTCCGACAAATGAGAAGACAAATGAAAAGACTTTATAAATAGAATAAAAAACAAGTTATAAGTATTACGTATATAAAAATGATTTTGTTATAATATCTAAAATAAGTTTTTACATGTAATGAATTTTTTAAACCAATTAATTAAATAGCAATTCTAACGGTAAAATTAATAATAAATTCTACCAAGATTTTAAATTGATCCATAAGCGGAATCTTTCCTGCGCCTCACTTAGAGTCGTTAACTTCGTCTCGGGTATTGTAATAAGGAACAGAAGAAAGCAGAAGAACATTAAAACATACGTAAAAGTATTGAACACAAAAATTGGATGCACATCGAATTTAAATGTACAAATGACGATGATGTGCACCACGCATTCCACGCAGATGCAGAATGTGATGAGAAATGGTTTCATGAGCATCGGGAAGGCTTCGCCAAGATAAACGGACGTCGTCGGCGCATATAAGCCAGCGAAATATTGAAATATTAGCAGGAGCACGCAAGCCAGTCTCATTTGGTCCTCTTGCCGCCAATTAGAGAAATATGCAAATATTACGGCAATACCAATACCGATACCACCCATTACCAACAGTCCCATTAGACCGACAATTTTACGTCCGATCATGTCCAGCATGGATACGGCAGTGCAGGCACCTAAAAAACGTAGCGCAGTAGAAACGGGCCCTGTCCACTGACCGCCCACACCCATATACATGACGAAATACAGTTGATTATTGTAGGGTAATGAAAAGGAGAAAGCCAGAGCGGCGCGATAAAAAGTCATTCTTAGCAAAGGTGCTAAGCCACGCAAGAAACTATTGCTAGTACCGAAATACTCATTCAACATCACATAATTCTTATGTTCCTCCAATAACAACTTCTTCTCATCCGACAAAACGGTGGGCAATTGCAGGCATGTCAACGAGTTCATTGCTTGAGCATCATTGGCCCGACGTATATAAAATATCGGCGATTCGATGACGAGATAGGCCAAACCAAGAGCGCCCAAACCGAAACCCAAACAGAAGATGCCATGTATACGCAACGGCGAGAAGGTGTTCCCTGCATTCCACAGTGATATGTAAGTGGCTTGTATGAATACGCCTAAAGTAATGCAAAGTTGTTCGAGTCCCAGTTCGATGCCGCGTTTCCGCGTGGCGCTTATCTCACTGCAGTGCACAATGAAAGGCACAGTGATTAGTCCAGTGGCGATGCCGTTTATGTAGCGCGCTGCGAGCAGTGCCATGTTATCATATGGGCAGGCGGTGTACAAAATGCCAGCCACTACAACTAAGAAGCTGCTGAGTAGCTGCGAAAGGTTTGGAAAAAAAAATATATATATTGTATATATAGTTCGTAAACATAGAACATATTCTACTCACCACAAAGTAACGCTTAATTAAGACCTTTACCAGGTATGCAGAAAAGAGCGCACCAATGATTACGCCAACGAGCCATGAGAATAGAAAGTGTGACGTAACTGGATTACAATAATAGCCCATGCTAAGAGCCAAGTTCATGCCCGATGTGAGAAAAATAAATGCATCTGAAAAGGTAAAAGGTGACGCGTTATTTGCAGATACGTATTTTCTTCCATAAAGTAGAGCTAAGTCAGACCTCAAACGAAGGCGAAAGCATAAAACGATATTGTAAAATCGATATTTTTCAGAAAATCTGAGAAAAAGAAACTTTCAATAATGCCACGGACAATAAATACTTTGTTTCTATCCATATATTCCATATTTTAGATAGTGGTACAATGTGATGTTTGATTTTGTTCAAATCTGAAGTTTTAAATGGTTTTTAATTGGAAGCGGAAAAAGTTTTTCCGAAAATATTCGATATTTAAAATATACAGCGTCTACCAATAGGGATGACATGATTTTGACAGCTCGTGGAGGCCATGTTTGTTTAAAATTCCTCATGTACTGTCCAAGATTAATTCGCAAATCCACGTTCTTGAAAAAAAAAAAAACGTTGAAAAATCATATTTTCAGATGAGGCCCATTTCTGGCTTAGTGGTTTCGTCAGCAAACAAAATTGTTGCTATTGGGGTGAATCAAATTCTCGTGTGGAGCCGTGGTGGCCTACATTTTGATCAAATTTGTGTATTTTATTTCAATTTAACATCACGTCGTTCATGTTGGTAGACCCTTTACACTAGAATTACATTTTTTAATTAAATTTGTGAATATACCTCATTGGTATCCACGATATTGTAATTTTGAATTTTATCAATCTAAAACTTTCAAACAGGGAGGCAACTTTTCTCTTTCTTAAACATGGTTTGTTCATAAGCATAATAAAACATTGAATTTAGTTTATCAATTGTTCGAATTAAATATTTGAAACAAGAGAATTCTCGAAACATATTTGTAATGTAAGCCTTATAATTTATATTTTCAACTCCAAAATTTCTCAACAGATTTTTAGTGATACCCAAATTATAGTGCCTTTCTTATACATTTTTTAAAACTCTAATTCTTTCTTTGTTTGAAGGCATTCACATACCATCAAACACCTGCGTATTCTGTGCTATTTGTAGTCCACCAATTTTATTATAATCGTGCCCAAAAAATGTTCACTTTAAAATTCCAACTGGGTAGCACATTCACGCATTACAATTGAATATCGACCTCACACTAAAGATTGCTAAGCTGGTGGTAGTTCAGCAAAAGGATAGTCTCGATACGACGAATTATTGAAAAATGTGTTGGCTTTAAGTGAAATCAGATTGTAAAACGGAATTTCGACTGTAGTTGTATGATCGATTCGACCAATATAGGCGGCGAAAATCGACAATACAAAGTGATAATGTATTTCAATAAAGCAGTATATTGTACCACCTTATCAGTACACATAGAGGCCGTTCTAATTCTTTTTTCGCTTTTCCAAATCATTTGTGGCTTATGAAGTCCGTTCGGAAAATTAGAAATAAATTTTAAGTCAGCAAGCCATCGGTTTAAACAGCAAATTTGTGAGAGAAAAACAATTTTGTTTGTTTTCAATCGAAATATGTATCTCAGAATGGTATGAAAGAAACTTCTTCTGCCATACTTTCACAATCCCGTGTAGACCGCTTCAACTCATATCTTATGTAAATAAACTGACTTTATTCCGATCTCCTTCAAAAAAGTAGAAAAGACTATGTAATACAGAACTCAATATCCCACTAATCTCCTCTAAGATCTACCATGTTCGAGTGCTATTATTATCAGCTAAATTTATAGGAAAGAAAATATCTACAATATTTATCTCGGCCTACAACTGCGATGTAATACATACGCGTATGAATATTAAAAGTTCAATGGAATACTCAAAACCCGAATATTTTGGTAAATCCACAGGCGTCGGTAATGCGGTATCGGTAGAGGTCATCAGCATAGTCTTTTAATGCATAACTCACCCGGTATAACGGCAATCGTTTGTGGTCGATCTTCCCAAAACGTCATTTTTAAATCCCTCAAAATTCACCGGATTGTAGAAATCTATATGTAACAGGGCACCTGGCTTCAACCGAAATTACAAAACGTTCTCCGTCGCACATTGGCGATTTGGCACTGAATTCACTCGCATAAGTAGTAAATAGAAATAGATCGAACGGCCGCAATAGTTGGCTTTATCAGTAACAATGTTGTTATTATCATATTGTACATATGTATGTACGTCGAAGATAAAGAGTTTATATTCGAAAAAAGTGAAAGAATATAAATAGAGCAATTTTTGCACGTAAATACTCACAGCAAAAACCAGCTCGTGCGTGCGAGCGCCTTTGTATTATTAGTTAACTGACTTTCTTGTGTTACTAGGGTCACTTGATAAGTCAGTGAGTTTTTAAATTTGAAGTATAATAACCAGGTTAAAGAACTGAAGCTGTAAAACTATGTCGTAAGTCGGAACATGGTTAGTTGTAGCATCGGCGCAGCGAATAATCATCTAGAGGTTAGGAGAACATGGATACAAAACCTCCAACGCCGCCTCTTTTCCATATAGTACAAGTACTCTGTGGTTCTTGCACGTTCAACGGTAATTAATGGGAAGTTGTAAGAAATCTGCTGAGTAATCGTGAACATTCAACTTTGTTTGGAGGAATATTGATTGAAAATTTGTTAAGTAGTTCGGATTAGATAAGGACCCAGCGAGGCCACTATCCCGTTTACATGAACGTTCACTGAATGTCAAGATTTCTCTTTTGCAATAACTCCTTGAAGAGCTTGACGATTAGCTTTATTGGAATGAACTTCCAATGAATGATATCTTCGGTAGACTGAGAACGGACGAAACTTATGAGATAGATCGACCTGGAGGTATATGAACGCAGAGCGACCACCATGCAGTTATGTACATTGAACGTCAAGATTGCTTAACAACTCCTTGGAAAGTTTGATGATATTTGCTGGAAATTCGTAATCATTTTTTTGTCTAACCAAGAATGTAGAATGGAGCTATCGAGTATTTGTTTCGGGTTAATAAACCGACCATTCAAATCGATTATTTTCAACTAGAATAGTTTATATTTCTTTTAGCGATTTTCATCTATCTTATAAAACGATGGCCTTTTAAGGTTCCTTTTTTCTTTTTGGAATTGGGAAAAGATCACAAGAAACCATGTCTGGCGAATAAGGGGCAGCGGCATTGTTAAAGTATTATTTTTGGCCAAGAACTTACGAAAAAAGTCTTTGATCCATTATTTTTAACAAACGAAAATTGCTAAGCTCATTACAAACGCGTCTAAACTTATCGACTGCAACAGACAAACTATATCAACATAATAAAAAAAAGTTTAACAATTAGACTCCAAAATTTTAATTTTAAAATTCCCGCTATTTTTTGAACATATCACACGTATGTGGCCGAAGAGAACTTTTTCTTTCCTGTATGAAATTTTATAAGAAAGTAAGTGTACTCTCACTTTTCTCGCTTAGTAATGAGGTAAAACTAAAGCAGCTTCTTCTAAATGTAGTGGAGGGAAAAATTAGAGTCTTCTTGTAATATAAGTGTTTGCATGATTCACAGTTAACTAAATGTCGGTATCAAAAGAAAGAAAAATTTGTCTTCTTATTAATATTGAACAAATGTCAACTCTCTTCCGATCAACGCCTTCCTTGTACTTCTACTTGTACAATTGATATATCATAAGCTGTCGTTTTTAATCGCAGCGATGTTTTATGGGCTCTGTCTTTATTAATCACAAAAACGACACACATTGGCCGATAAGAATTGTTATACTAAGAAGTCGAAGATAATTAGATAATTTTGACATTTGTATTACTTTATTTAGTTTTATTTATAAGCGATCTAAAAAGCGCTTTTGATTTGCTAAGCGCATAATGGCTATAGAAAACTTTATCTCTCAGACACTTCAATTGTGACAGTATTTACGAAGAACTGTCTCCTGTTTTGTAGTTAATTATATAATACATTTTCCTAAAATATCTCAAATATTGCTCTAAATAATAAAAATGTATGTTTTTTAACACTCCGAGAGTCGCGAACTTCATTATCGAAGAGAAGAAGCACAATAAGGGAGCTTGTTTATTTTGGGAAATCATGCTGTGGATATACATTTAAATATATATTTAATTCCTATTATTTGTTTGTAAAGAAAAGTGTGAATCACAGTTCTACGACATGGAAATTGTTCAAGAACCAAGGAGAATTTTATTTGAGATTGAGGTTATCCGTTTGTGGAAACTAAGAATTTTTCATATTTCTAATAAAGAAGATAGTTAATATATGTAGGTAAAAGTTGCTGAAGACCAATCCCAATAATACATTTAGATCCTAACCGATCGCATTTACCTAGCAACATGAGTCATTCAAACTTCTTCTGAAGATGGACAGCAGCTGAAAAAAAATACGCCATATTTTGAAATTTTCTTCGATAACGCAAAAACTTGATACTGTGTTTCGTCGATTTGATTTCGGTAATTTCAATATCAAAGATGTACCACACTCTCAAACAAAATCAATCAAATTCTAAGGAGTATGGTTACTGGTAACGAAATGTGAGTCACTTATGATAACGCCAAACGGTTGCCAAGTTAGGATTGACGTCTAAGAAAGTTTTACTCTGTGTTTGGTTTGATTGGCGAATATCTTTTTTAGATCACAGAATAAATAGTGAAAACTCTCCAAGAGGCTGGAAATATACTTGTAAGATTCTTTGCAGTGCAAATTTAATACTAAATCGGTATCTGAAATTATTTGTGAAAGGCATTAGGGATATACTACACTCTGTTTGAGGGTACAACTCAGACTTTGAAAGTTAGTCGTGCACTGTCTTATAGTCCCTAGGCAACGTAAGTGACAAAGAGAAAGCAATGAAGTAAGAACCATTTCAAGAAATAAAATAACAAAATAAAAGAAAATCGTGTGCTGTATTTCTACATACTTCCACTAAAGCCTACCTTAAATTGTCATTTGAGACACTTTTCTTCTATGAATATCTTGCAGACCTTACGCAAGTCATATTAATAGCGAAAGAGTCCAAACACAATAATGCTTTTAAACTCTAACCCTGCGTAGTTACATAATTTTATGTTCGTCTCGTTTATTTAATTTTGTTATTTTCGGTAATGTACAATTTTAATACCAATCATTGCGGCTTATCTCATTACAATTTCACACATTTCTTTGCTTTATGGCTTTCGCTTTCATACCAAATTACAAGCAGTTTCGGACCTACCTTATGACTGCTTCCAGCCAACTTCATACTCATAAAGGTGTATAATAGTTATGTGGATCCACATTAAAGCGATTAATGTGTTAAAGAAGCATGCGTTTTTTGTGAGGAAAAAAAAATAACTTGAATAGAAGTGATATAATATTTTTTTTCATTATTATAGGTTTTTGGTTTTGCTTTTTCGAAAACTAAGTGAAGCTATTAAAGAGGCTTAAATTTAAACGCGACTTTAGTAGTTTTGGCTCAAAGCAAGCATGCATATATATTATATATATATATATATATGTATATTTTTACAGATATATGTGGCTTGCACTTAAAGCTAAGAATATCATTTAAACCAACTTTCGGGGCGGAAGTTGTGATTAATGAACAAAGATGTGGGTACGCTGAAGAGGTTATAAATTGTGTGAAGAAGAAGAACGAAGTGGATAAGCCACTATAGAGTGGAAAATACTTTTGTTGTTGTACTTTGTGAAGTTATTCAACATTCATGCAAATCATAGATATACATAAATATGTAGATGTATACATATTAGGGTGGCCCAAAAAACTGTTATTTTTTTCCGGTATCTATACCCTAAAAATATCGTCCAAAATGACGAAAAATCTGATAAGCGTTTAATGATAATTTTTTCCAATCATGCTGGATAGCTTTTCTATAATTTATGGAACAAAAATCATAAAAAAAAAATATTTTTTATGATCTTGAAACACTATTTTATAAAAAAATGTATTATTTAAGGTTGAACTTTGAGTTCGAATAGCTTTTGAACGTGTTAACTTAGCAAACAATCTCTTTGGAGCTTTAAATTTTTACTATACAATAATTTGTTCAAATACATTAAATATTCAAACAGAATAAGAACATATTTATTTTTTATTTACAATATATGGGAAATCAAAAGTCACAATACGCCATTCGTTAATATTAACATTAAGAGCTCAAACATTACAAAAAAATTTGTTTACGGTATTTTCACGGAAGTTAAGGAAACAAATTTAATATTGTAACAAAAATTTGTGTTAAACCCTAATGAATAGATATATAAAACTTGGGTGTATATAAAACTTATGTTGACTACCAATGTTTGTATATATGTATGCACACACATGCACTGACCGAACCATACAGACACTTCTAGTTCCACTTCGTACATCCGAAAAATGTTAATGAACTGCCTTTGTTCTTAATTTACTTGTGTTTGGTTATATGTATTAGTCAAGTTGAGGGTTGGGTTGGCAAGATTAGCTGTTGGCGCCAGCTTTTCTAAATTTGATTTCTTTGTAGCTTCTACGGTTCCATCAACTCGTTAATGATGCGTTCTTTCAGGACGTTGGCGAGTAAGCTTGGTGCGCCGTTGGAAAAGCCATTCCGATTTGCTTTTCAATATTCGGATGACTTTTCTTATTTCCATCGTTTGCACCTTACTTTGCAAGCAGTCCTAACTTATACTGAGAAAAAGGAAAGCTTAAAAGTCTTTTTAGAGTTATAAAACGCCACATAGATAGCTAGGTAAATGCAGTGGCCAAAATGTTGGTGCTTGAACAGAATTTGTGGATTATGATCACCGCTACTGTGCCTTTAAACAATCATTCCGATGCGGACCTTTTTTCCAGCACATTTTCTAACCAAATAGTGATTTCTAACTGAACATTTGTAGCTAGCAGTTATCATAATCTTAAACTCTTAAGAATATGGGCATTCAAGATGTCATTCTATACAGCCAAGATTACAGTCTCGTGTTCACCCAAGAAATGGCTACCAAAGCGTTTGATAGTTTCGAAACTTTTAAAGCAACCGGTGCGGATGGTATATTTCCCTTCTACTATAAAATGGTGCAGATCTACGTCCCAGTCTCGCTATCTGCTGGACTGGTTAAGTCATATGCTAAGCACTATTCCAGCTATATACGATATAAAAATCGTTAACTAGATCACTTGCCGAATGCAAAATAACCAAAGAGTCACTTC